AAAGTGGGAAAAAGTCCTGGAGATGTTCTAAAATTGGACAGTGGTGATGGCTGCATAATTCTGTATCTTTCCTCAAAATTGTTAATAAATTGGGTATGTACACTTAATATGCATGAATTTTATTATATGTAAATTATGCCTCATTACTGAAGCCTTTTTTAAAAAAAAAAAGAAAGAAGAAAGTATCCAAACTGATTTTGGAGTGATTCATGAAACATTTCTATAGTAAATATAGTTAATGGAAAGAGCTAGAAAATTCTCCCTACCAAAGTCCCAAAATCAGCCAAGAAATGGCAGCACCTTGGGAAAGAGTGCATATCAGCCCCAGGTGACTGACAGCCACTTCTCATTTGCATACTGTCTGATGGGCATTACTCCAGGAGAGCTGTCACTATCATAAGCTACTGCCTTTTCTCACACTTACAACCCACTGGGGAGATAAGACATATATGAAGGTACTGACATCTATGAATAAGTAAAGTAAAATAAATTAGTTAATGTCAAACTAGTTAAAGCACTGTTTCTTTTCTCAGAGTGTGAGTTGACGGCAGAGTAAAACAAAATGAGGCTTTCTTCCTCAGCCAGTTTGCAAAATCCCTACAAACAGGATTTTGAAAGATCCGTTATGGGGAAGAGAAAACGCCTCCATATGGGGAACATATTGTTGTGCCTCCTCCCTTTCTCAAATATTGCTGTAATAATGGACAATCTTTCATTTGAATCCCTTTGCCCCAAGTCCAAGTCTGACTGATATTGCATTTTCAAAGTCTCAGGTACATAAAAATAATTTTCACACTAGTGTCCAAATGGATGCTTGCATTTGAGATTTTAGCTGACACAGGATTGAAATCCCCCTCTCTCTGCTTTCAGTCCATTTTCCTTTAGAGCTGACATTGGCAGCCTCCGGTCTTTCTTTAGTGGATGCGCCAAAGGCAGTTGTCTCTCCCCCACCTGTTTCTTTTTTCCTTCCTGAAATCCAGAATGATTTTCCTCTTGCACTCTGAAGGATAAACCCAAGCAAAGTGACCACCATACCAAACTCCATGCCAGGGGGTGGAAGTAGGATTAGCAATTTCTAGGTCCCAGCTTCCTGTGATTTTGAAAGGCTTAGCACAGCAGGGAGGTAGGTTTGTTAATTGCACAGATAAATGCTAGTTGACCTGTAAAATGCAGGATTAAGTTGTTTAAATCCATTCCCACTGGCAATATGGAAAGATGGAGGGACTCAGGTTGTGGTTACAGTTCTCCTGAGAGATGGACAGATGTGTGCAGGTACCAACTGCAAACCAGATTGCCTTTTGGCATTATGGGGGAGCTTTCTTCAGGGATGTCTGAAGAGTAAACCTGGGCTCTATGAATGCATGCTGTGAAAAAGCTGAAGTTGCATAACACATTGTAGCCAGTTGAAACCTAATATTGAATGAAAGCATCAAGCTACCCTTAACTAAGGAGGAGAGTCCAAAGTAAAATGTGTTGGAGAACTAAGAAGCAGCCACTGAATGTTCTCACTTTTACTGGGACCAGTGACTGAGCACCTGGACATTTCAATGTATTTCTTTGGTCTGGGAGAAGGGGAGGCTGAACACTTAGTTTCTAAAACTTTAGTTAGGAAGCAATTGTCTTAGTTTCTAAAACTTAGGAAGCAGTTGTGCATTAGTCATTATAACTCATGCACATATTTCATGTTTTATGTTAAAAGTGTTTTGTGATTGTCAGCTTTGGAATATAAATATTCAGAGGACACAGATTGTATCCACGTGGACTTGATTGGTAGTGTTTAACATAGATTCTATGAGGATGCTTAAACAATGCTATCAAATTTTTCTGACTTTATACAGGTCAGTAAGCTCAATGGAAAAATTTTTTAAAAATAACCTCTCACCTCCATAAAATAAATTATTCTAGTCAACAGTGCCTCCCAGATTTGCCATATAAATTAGCAGGAAAAAAAAAAAAAACCTCTCCAACAACTAAGCTAGGGAATAAAATCCCCATGTCGGTCACCTCTTTTCTAATTATCACTAAAGCCTGACTTAGCTGGATGAAACATAGCTCAGGAGGGAACATTAAAGCTCAGACATTAACCATGATAACTAGAGTGGAAATGTATCTCTAAGAGATTGGGCAGTGGTCTGAAGATATTCTAGGTTTTACTTGAGGATTACCCGGAGTACGGAGAATTGAATCCAAGCCCAAAGGCAGCTAAAGTGGGGGTGGGGCCTTCTGCCTAGTAAGGATGGTGCCAAGGAGCAGTGAACTTCAAGTCAAACAAACAGCTCTACCAAGAATCAACCAGTCTCCATTCTTAAGGTCTCAGAGGCCAGAGAAACATGGATCAGAACTGCTTGAGCATAGCAACCCTATTTTAAGCACAGCACAGAGAAAATTATGTTAAGAACAAAGGGAAGAAAGAGATGGTTTATTTCAGCACTGGGGATTCAACCCACTTGCTAGGCAAGTTGTTCTTCCACTGAACTACATCTCCAGGCCATCTATTTTTGATTTTGAAACAGGGTCTCTCCAAGCTTCCCAGGATGGCCTCGAATTTGAAATCCTCCTGCCTTAGTCTCCTGAGTAACTGGAATTACAAGCATGCGCCACATATCCAGTTTAGGAAGAGATGGGTTTTTTCTTTTTCTTTTTTAACCCAGAGAGGGAGGAGAGGAAGAAGTATCTTGAGGGTGTCTTGGTTGGATGGATAGATAAGATTTTTCATAGTTGAGAAATCTTGAGAGATATATTCTGCACCCCCTGCAGTAGCAGAATTTGCCAATTGTAGATACTAAATTCCCTGTTGCTAGGTTGTGAAATGTCTTGGTAAGAGGTTTTTCTCCTCTTCCTGCTCCTCCTCCCCCTCCCTTTCACTCCCCCTCCCCCTTTCCCT